ATCCATCCATCCATCCATCCATCCATCCATCCATCCATCCATCCATCCATCATCTCTCTCTCTCTCATCTCTCTATTTATCTCTCTCTCTCTCTGTGTCTATCATCTCTCTCTCTCTCTGTCTCTCATATCTATCTGTCTGTCTGTCTGTCTATCTATCTATCTATCCATCCATCCATCATCTCTCTCATCGCTATCTCTCTCTCTATCCATCCATCCATCCATCCATCCATCCATCCATCCATCCATCTCTCTCTCTCTCTCTCATATCTCTCTCTCTCTCTCTCATCTCTCTCTCTCTCTCTCTCTCTCTCTATCTATCTATCTATCATCTCTCTCTCTCTCTCTCTCTCTCATATCCATCCATCCATCCATCCATCCATCCATCAATCCATCATCAGGAGATAGGAGAAAGCAATGGGTAAGTCGAAACAGAAATGTGTGATTGTGCACAAGAGAGAGGCTGATTTCAAGCGTTTGCTGGTTCTGTCTTCCTCCTCCGGGCCATAAAAACATTCACCTTTCCTCCCACATCACGACTTTTGGCCTTCAGCTTGTTGACCTGGGACTCTGCGATGTCCGCCCGCTCCTCGGCTTCATCCAACTCGTGCTGGGCCTTCCGAAATTTGGCGAGGTTGGTGTTGGCCTGCTCCTCCTGGGGAGGGAGTGGAAGAGGATTGAGGGGTGTTCGTTGAGTGCAGAAGCCTCACGTGTTGTTCTTGTGTTATTGCTATTGTCCATCTCCCTGTTTGGAGTCCTCTGTCCAGTTGTGGGCACTACACTCCAGAAGGGACAGGGGCAAAGGGAACCAGGTTCAGAGGAGGGCTACCCAGATGGTGAAGGATCTGGAAATCCAACCCTGTGAAGAACTGGTTGAAGGATCTGGATATGATTAGCCAACAGAAAAGACAACCGAGGGGAGATACAAGAGCAGTTTTCAAGAATCTGAAGGATGTCACAGAGAAGAAGCGGCTTTGTTCTCTGTGGCCCCAGAGGGCAGGACCAGAACCAACGGAGGTGGAAGGAGGTTCAGGCTAGACCTCTGCTGGAGCAAACTGCCTGATGTGAAGGACTTCTTCCAACAGAGACTTCAAACAGAGGTCCCTTCCAACTCGCTGATGGTAAGAATCTATTCCAGGCAGATCCCTGCCAAGACTGGAACCCCTAAAAGGAAGAGATCCAGATCTGGACGGGACAAATTCCGATACAGCAAAGAGGGAAGATGTTTCTGCATTTCTTGACTGCTTTCCTTACAGTGGTCAAATTGATGGCAGCCAGATTGGGTCACTCTAAAAAGGACATCTTTTTTTAAAATTCAGAGGCCAGGGAGACGGGAAAAATTCCCACAGGTTCTTCCCAGAGAGAAGACTCCCAGTGTGATGAATCAGAAGACATCTTAAAGCAGTGTTTCTCAAACTTGGCTGCTTTCAGACCTGTGGACTTCAACTCCCAGAATTCCCCAGCCAGCATGCTGGCTGGGGAATTCTGGGAGTTGAAGTCCACAGGTCTGAAAGCAGCCAAGTTTGAGAAACACTGTCTTAGAGCATAGAGTTCTTCTGTCTTTTCCTCCCTGGCACTTTTAGAAGAAATGAGAGGAGGAAAACACTGGGAAGGCCAGGATTGCTACAAGGAGAATTTGTCTATACTTCACACATCAGAAGAAGTCTGGTCGCACCTTTCAGACCAACCTTGAATTTAGATTTGTACAGCTAGCTAAGATTAATGGTTTGGATACGAACGGGTCAAGAGTTTGTATGACGATACTTTGGCACCAAATTCTGTAATAAAGAGAGTGATTTTTTCCCCAGCCGCTCTGTCTCTTCAACTGTCTTTCTTGGAGGACTAAATAGGCTTGCTATGCTTTTAAATAAAATTGGTTAGTCTGAAAAGGTGTGACTAGACTCCTAATTTTGGCCTCCCATAAACTAACCCGGCTTTCTTCCTCTTTCACAGAATATTACCCACAAATGAGATGCAGTGATAGTACAAGGACAGATTCCTTTCTCATTTAGCTCACCCAATCTTCCATCGTTTCAATTAAGGGTTATCCAGGGCTTAAGAGATCAAGCAAAACAGTTTAAAGTCTGGTAAAGCTTACTTGTAAGATTAGCCAAATCTTTGCTCCTGGCTGCTTGCTCACTTTTAAAATCTCCAGCTCGCGAGACCGAAAAGCAAACCGCCAGGTGAGCTTCCTCTAAGCAGCTTGACTCACCCACTAAACTTTTAGCTATAGCAAAATTGGGTTTTTCCTGTAAACCGCCCTGTAGTGAGATGGGCAGTGACAAATTTGAAATATAAATAAATAAATAAAAATAGGGACATGCGCTTAAGAACTCACCGCTTCTTCGGCTTGTCTTTTATAGGCTTTGACCTTCACTTGCAATTTATCTACCAGGTCTTGGAGTCTCAGCAAGTTTTTCTTATCCTCCTCAGTCTGCAAAGGAAGGAAAATGGGAAAGGTGTGCGGGGAAGAGCCATCGCAATCTGTCCGCATGTCCTTCTCTAAGAGCTAATGCTTTTGTCCTGATGTCTGAACCGTATCGTGTGCACACCGCAGTTTGCAAGCGGCTATCGAAACCGTCTGTCTGAAACCGGTTTGCGAAAAAGGAGTTTGTAAATCACCCTTGATTATGGAGTTAAGCTGACAAACCAAGAGGTGGTCATAAGTGTGAGGACTGGTTGTAAGTCATTTTTTCAGCGCCATCATAACTTCGAGCTTAAATGAATGGTCGTAAGTTGAGGACTACCTGTACACGCACACATATACACATGATGAAATTTCCAAAGCTACCTTTAATAAGCATTCCACATTTCTGAAGTCTGGAAGGTATGCACGCTTTTAATTTGCCTGATGTTTTGTGCAAGGGTTTGTGATTAGTTGATGATGCAGCCAGAAAGCACCTAAAACAGCCCTTTTGCTGGAGCAAAGCAGGAGGTCTGCTTGGATAGAAGATGACCTGAGAATTTCACCTCCCCTGCTTGGAGCTCCATGACGAAATAAAAGCAGGATATAAATGTAATAAAAACAAATCCTATGCTTTCTAAAGTCAGAGAAGCCATAGTGTTTCCTTAATGAGACAAACACGTTTTTATCCCAACCACCCAACAAATTGTTTGGCCCAGAAGACCATAAAAACCTGCTTACCTGGTAGGTGAGCTCCTTGATGCGGCGCTCGCACTTGCGCATGCCCTTGACGTTCTCCACGTTGCGCTTCTGCTCCGATTCCAGCTCGTTCTCCAGTTCCCGCACCCGGGCCTCCAGTTTCTGAAGCTGCTTCTTGCCCCCCTTCAGGGCCAGCTGCTCTGCCTCGTCCAGACGCATCTGCAGGTCCTTGATGGTCTGCTCCATGTTCTTCTTCATCCTCTCCAGGTGGGCGCTGGTGTCCTGCTCCTTCTTCAGCTCCTCCGCCATCATGGCCGCCTGCCCCATTCAAGAGGACAATGGAGAAATACATCCACCAGAGAGAGGGAGAAGGACCGCCCACATGCTTTACTCTTTACATTAATTGGGGAATTGATCCTAACCTCACAGACTACTTATTCATGTGAATATTATGGTCAGGGTCCTCTTTTGACCCAGGATGCCTCTGTCCACCAGTGTGATGGTGGACCAAAGCAGAGGAGAATCTTCAGATGTGCCTCATTTCCCAGACTTTGGACCTCCTTATTAAAAACAGGAGAAGGAGGAGCTATTTTTGCCCCCCAGAGTCTATGTAGGGTTGTGATGGAGAAGAAGGGAGATCCTGGACAGCCTCCCTGTCTCTTTCACACCCAGCGTTTGGCCTCATCCTTCCTCCCAGGATCACCTGAACCAGCTCCATGGATGTGAGGAACAGAGATGGGCTGGAGGGTATGTGTGTAAAAGGGAGAACAGAAGTCCTTCCTCACCATTTCTCATATCTAGATCTGAAATGACGTGGTCACAAATAGTTAAGGAATGCAGAGATGACATGGTCTTTCTAAGTATGGGACCTTTTAGAAAATATAACATTAGACCCTTGTGAGAAGTATCAACTTCCCAGTTTTCAACACTCTCTTTATATTTTCTCTCTGTTTCAGAAAGAAGGAGAGAAGATAGAAGGACTTTCTTTGAGGGCCTTGATGGCTCCAGTTTGGGTAATGGGAGAAAGGGCAAAATTGTCACTGTGGGCCAATAGTTGCCAACGCGAGTCCATGATTTCACTCTCACGCACATCTGTGATGGCCTTCTTGGCCTTCTCCTCAGCATTTCTGCACTCCTGCACAGCTTCTTCCATTTCTGACTGAAGCTGGGTCAGATCGTTCTCCATCTTCTTCTTTTGGTTGATGAGGCTGGTGTTCTGCAGGAAGGTGGCAACCAAAATAGCTGTGAGTCAAGCTGCTAATGGAGGGAAACAAAAGAAGCTGAACGGATTCAAAGGCTCCGAATGGTTGGCGTGTTCACATAGCATGGGACCTATGAATTTCAAGGATGGCTTGCAGCAAACATCCCGAACCTGTTTTCTTCTAGATGACTTGGATCTACAGTAACTCCTGGAATCTCCACCTTGTGTGCAATGTTGACTTAAATCATGAAAAGTGCTCTGCGTAGCGCACAAACATGTTTGGATCTGTCAGCCACCAAGGCGGACCAGATCAAGACACAAGATTAGAGCTCTACTTTATTGAGATAAGCTCTAATAACAGAATCTTCCAAGTCTGCCTGTACAGTATTTTCCCTTCCCTCCCTCTTATCCAGGTAGTCCCTGGGTTAAGAATGCTCGGTTTAAGGACGACCCATAGTTAAGAACAAAGTCTACTGTAGCAAGATTCGAGTTAAATCCACAATGATTCGAGTTAAATCCATAATGGTTTGAGTTCATTACACAATACTACTTATACCTTATTATACAATAATACTGTTCTGGCTTACATACACATAGTTAAGAACAAAGTCTACTGTAGCAAGATTCGAGTTAAATCCACAATGATTCGAGTTAAATCCATAATGGTTTGAGTTCATTACACAATACTACTTATACCTTATTATACAATAATACTGTTCTGGCTTACATACACATAGTTAAGAACAAAGTCTACTGTAGCAAGATTCGAGTTAAATCCACAATGATTCGAGTTAAATCCATAATGGTTTGAGTTCATTACACAATACTACTTATACCTTATTATACAATAATACTGTTCTGGCTTACATACAAATTCGACTTAAGGACAGACCTTGGGAATGGAGCTCGTTCTTAAACTGGAGACTACCTGTACTCCAGTGAGTAGCCAATGTGAGTCTTTTCCTAATACTTTCCCATCTCCCTGAGCTTCTGCACCTGTTGTTGTCTGAACAGGCTCTGGGTGGCTTCTCCAAGGTCATCTCTGTGGCTCCCTACACAATCTGATTCAAAGAAACACGAGAGAGACCACCTGGTTCTCCTTTACCTGGGAGTGGAGGAGCTGGACCCTCTCACTGGCCTCTGTCAGTTCCTGCTCTGCCAGTTTCCGCCCACGCTCCGTCTGCTCCAACACGCTGCGTAGCTCTTCAAGCTCAGCCTGCAGCAGAGTGTTCCGCCTTTCCACAATGGCGATGTTCTCCTTCAAGTCCTCGTTGGCTCGTAGGGCATCGTCCAGTTGAATCTGGTTGTCCTGGGCAATCGAGAACATACAGCCTAGAGCAAACCTATTTCAGATGGGAAGCATTCCACAACAATGCCTTTTTCAAAAAATCCTTTCATGGATATGCTTTACCACACTTCTCCATTGTGTCCTGATGATAGGACTCCTTCAGCCCCTAAAACTATGGACTAGCGAGGAAGGGCTGAAGGCTTTGTATCTCATTACCTTGAGATGGGCATGAGCAATTTTGAGGTGCTTCTGAACCTCAGCGGCCACCCGATTAGCTTGGCTAAGTTGGATCTCCATATCATTGAGGTCACCCTCCATCTTCTTCTTGATCCTCAGGGCCTCGTTGCGGCTGCGGGTCTCGGCGTCCAAGGATGCTTGAAGCGAGTCCACCATCCTCAAGTGATTCCGCTTGGCCTGCTCCATTTCCTCGTCCTTCTCAGCCAACTTGCGCTCAATATCGGCCTTAATTTGGTTGAATTCCAGCTGAGCTCGGAGGATCTTTCCTTCCTCATGTTCCAGAGAGGCCTGTGGAGTCAAGGAATTATGGGTGAAGTGAAAGTATAAATGATGAAGGAAAAAGGGGAAGAAAGGGATAGCATTGAGACCTGGGACCTTTCTTACCTCAAATTAGAGTTCCTTACTTTCTAATGGACAAAAGCTTATGCACTTAGTAGCTTCCTTCCTTGCTCGTTTTTCTGAAATTCCACTTTTTTTTTTTTTTAATGGAATCCGGGCTGTGATATCCATGTGGCACCCTGCAATGTTTTTATTTTTTTCTCCAGACAGCTCTGATTTGCAATGGCTGTTTTTTTTTTCTTTTAAAAGACAATAGAAGTGCTAACCTGAAAGGAAAGTCACTGCTGAAATGTTTAGCTCTGTTGTGCCTTTAATTAAATGCTTCCTGCTTCAGATTCTGTTCAGTTTATTGCCTCTCGCTGAGAGTAGGTGAAATCAGTGAATAAAGCTCCTTGTTTGTTTCTGTTCCCCACCTGGGAAAGAGGAAGGGACTCTGCTTCCCTTCAGATGTTTTAAATGCGTTTTATAGTGAAATAGGAAAGAAATAGGAAAGAGAAAAGCGAAGGGAAGGGAAGCCGGGAGCTGTACTTCTCTCACCTCAGCCTCCTCCAGAGCTGCCTGTAACTCCACTTTCTCGGACTCAAGCTGCTTTTTCACTTTTTCCAACTCATGCATACTTTTGGCCCCTTGACTCAACTGTTCTGTGAGATCAGAAATCTCCTCTGCGGATTGAGAAGAAGAAAGAGATTTGGGTCACACTCTGCTGTGAAGGAGAAGGACAAGTCAGGGATGTCCCCCGACATCTGGCGCCACTGAGCAAGGAGGCCTTGCTGAGACCCCTCTCCGCCAGCTCAACTCACCTTGCAAATTCTTGTTCTCTCTTTTTAACGTCTCCAGGTGTTCCAGGGACTCCTCGTAAGCATTCTTCAGCTTGAAGAGCTCAGTGCTGAGTGAACGGGACTCTTTCTGTGAGGCCTCCAATTCTGCCTGAGATTCTTCATTCTTCTGCTTCCATTCAGAAAGAATCTGAGGGGGCAGAGGATAAGGGAGGCAAAACATTAGGTTCCTCCTTTTTCTTTTACCCCATTACCACCTTCTTCTCTTCTCTTCTCTTCTCTTCTCTTCTCTTCTCTTCTCTTCTCTTCTCTTCTC